ATCTTTTTCGTTGTTAATCTACCCTACCCATGCAATGCAATTGCATGGGTAGATTATTGGAAATATGTGTTTTTTAAACATTTCCTTTGACCATTTTCTCCCCTGTCGTCTAAGAGTGCCGCAATATGTTTCTCTAAACTACACAATTTAAGACGCTTGAAGGTTTATAAATATTCATGTATTTGGTATAATTTAAAAAAATCAAAAATGTACGTTGTCATCTCCAATGTACGTTGTCCTTGTAATTGAAATGTAAACAATGCAATGATTTAATTTCAAAACGCATTTAGGGTTTTATGATGAGTAACAAGTGATGTTCAACGAACATGTTCATGTATCTTCGGTACAGATATCCCCTGATATTTTACCTCTTGTTGAATGCTATTTTATTTTATGAAAGTGTTGATATGGTGATTAATATTTGACCATGGAGAGTTATCTTCCAACCTCTTGGACCAGTCGGCGTCGGTACGTTACGTTATGTTGCACTTTTATGAATTTTAGTAATCTTAAGGAGTTTATGGAGAGATCTATACTAGCTTATCGAAGATTATTTTCGAAATCCCGTTCATGCTATATCCGGAAAGGTTCAATATAGTTCAATCAAGTTGAATTAGTATCGTTTCAGTTTTAAATGAATCTGATCCCCTGTCCCTTAGTGTTATGAAAAATACGTTGTCTACATAAGGGTTAACTGTGGATTCAGATATGCAAGTTCAATGGGATAACGTACATCGAGATAACAACGTACACTTATGTTTTTTTTTATTTTCTAGCAAAAACGTGAATATTTATTAAATCTCCAACCGACCTTAATTATGTAACTTTGGGAAACATATTCTCATAAAAATAATCGACACTCTTAGGCGATAGGGGGAAAAAATGACCAAAGGAAATGTGAAAAACCAAACATTTTCCAACCGATCATTGTTGATGGGTACATTTACTACGAAAAAACTCGAGCACTGCCCGAAAATCTTTTCACGGAATTAGAAAGGTATAATTTTTAAAACCTACACCACATTATTATCATTGTATGTATATGTACTATTTTATACTCACAAGTGTGGGTAGAAATAAAGAATAAAGAAAGAAAAGAAAAAGAAATGACAAAAATATTCAATTATCATTTAAAAATGGATTCCGCCCATGCATACCCGAGTTACCATGGTTACGCATCGTTGAAACAATATTGAATGCTGTACAATCCATATTATTTACCGCTAATCAACCAATCAGAATCGAGTATTTCAGTTGAGGTACTAACAATAAGAATTTAACACTTGGTAGATAATTGAATGATGTAATGTCTGTTATAAAAGTAGACTGATTGGACAATGTTAAGCATGTCTATAAAATTTTGTCCATTACTTTTGAATCACTCCTCGTATATACTTTTCTCTATATTGTTTTAGAAAACATATGAGACACTTATTTTGTTCTTGGTATCATATTTTCGGAATGAAACGAAACATCTATCCGAACCTCATTGGAACAAAATGACTACTCAACGTGTTTAGGTCTCTCAATTGTAATTGTACAAAGTAAAGTTTGGTTAATTTAAAAAAGTATCTTGTTAATGAAATTTTTATCTATTTTTTTTGTTAAATCAACTAAATTTTCCTTTGTTTAACGATAATATTGAGAGGTCTTAGAAAATGTTGTATATGCTCTTTTGTTCCAACAAGGTTCGAAAAGATATTTTATTCCATTCTCAAGAATCGGTAGGAAGGAACAAAAAATTGCACTAAAAATAAAAATAAATGTTAACAAAAACAGTTATAAAAATATATTTAAATAATTTTCGCATTAAAATGTTGTCAATCAGTGACCATTACATAAAGGACTGTGTCTTTTACAGAATGTTTTCAATAGTTGGTTTAAGAGAAAAACAATGTTAAATTCAGTTCTCCATATCGATACCAATTCTTTTGAATATCTAATTTAATATCTAATATGACTAGAAATAATCTTGTATGACTATCAAATAACTTTTGATAGTCATACAAGATTATTTCTAGTCTATTTATACTATAATTAGTCCCCACTTAGGTATCAACACAACAGAATGAAATGTAGTTTATTTAAAGAATAAA